AAGCGTCTGAAGAGCGCCGAGTGCTTCACAGAAAGACGATGGGTGCGGGTTGCATCAATCTCATCAGATGCGAACCACTGAATCTGCTCTTGCGACTTTCGGTTGGACCTACGAGAGGCCATCGCAGTCCGGCCCCAAATTTGGCTTTTACCTAGACGAGCGTCAGCTACAGCTACAGCTTTGGCATTGTGACTGATCTGAGTCGACCTGCACATGTGACCATGTGGAGGACAGCTCGAAATCACAGTCCGCTAGTGAAGGATCTGAGCAGTGTCTAGGGCGCCCCTCTCCCGCGGCTGTCGTCACGCTCAGTCGTCCGTACTCCTAATCAACAAGACACGATCGCGAGAGCGCGCAGCGAAGGTCAACGTTGCCGTCATACGCCAGACTCAAGGCTTGACCACCGATAGACCTGTGAGGTCAAGCGCCCTGGGGCGCTGTTCTGAGCGATGCAGCCCTCCAAGCAACATCGCCAATCGTGAAGCTGCGACCGAGCGGGGGCGCCCACGAGGCCAAGTCTCAATTCGCTTCAGCCATCCTCTTCTGCTCCGACCTGACACGCTGACTATGGGTATGCGAGCGCTTTGGTAACGCTCACGCCTCTTGCAAAGGCACCTTGGGAGGATGTGTGTAGCATTGCTTGAGCTGGCTGAAGCGCTGCTCGTTGCCCTGCTGGGCGCATGATGCATACAATGTAGAAGCTTGTGGGCGTAAGACGTGAGAGCGAGGCAAGACGGTGACAAGCTTAGTCGAAAAGACCAAAGCCCATCTGTGAAGCGAGGTGAATGCAGAAGCAGGCACCTGTGAGTCAACCAGCACCATGTCGTGCCAACGAAATCTGACTGAGCATACTCACGTCATCATCAGACTCCTCCTTCTCCTCTTCCTTCTTCTTCTCCTCAGCGGGAGCCTCTGCAGCTGCTGCGCCTCCACCGCCAGCAGCGGCGGCAGCAGCTGGGGCAGCACCGCCTCCTCCGCCAGATGGGACGGAAGCGAGCTTCTCTGCTCCCTCGGTGATGAGCTAGTGACGAGGGGTCAAAGAAAGAACGGGGTAGCGTGAGCGACGATTGAACATTACGACACAGCATTGAGGAACGGCGCCGCTTCAACGCAAACCTCTATGCCTTCGCTGGTACGATGCGACAGCGCCGAAGCGCGCCGGGCAGAACCCCTTGGCTGGCCTGCACCTGTTGCTGATTGCGCGCACTCCTGATCACTCCGCGCTCACCTGAGCAATGTCCTTACCCTCGAGCTCGCTGACGAGCTTCTCGAGGCGCTCAGAGTCAGCCTCGATGCCGACGGTGTCGAGCAGAGAGGTGATGTCAGCAGCCGAAGGGCTGGCCTTTCCACCGAGCTGGAGGAGCAAGTAAGCTGCGATGTGCTTCATTTTTGAATGGGTTTGGTGCAAAAGGGGCTGTTTTGGTGGTGTGGTTTTTGTTGCTTAGGAACCCGCAAATCCGCTTGGTGGAGCTTTGATCCAAAAGAGGAAGACTTGTGGTTGATAAGCCAAGAAGGAATTTCTAGCTCGGATTCGAATGTGGTGTAAGGTACTTGTGAGCGAAGTAGTCCGCTCAGCAAATTGGGCTATTTGTGATACTCACGCCCTCGCCGTGCCCTCAGCTTCGGCGCTCGCACTCCAGCCGCGCGCGAAGCTTCTGTCGCGCATGACGGGCTCCCCGACCCGCCGCAGCGCGCCACGGCAACGCGGTGCGGCAGGCGCGGACCTGATTGCTTGGGCGGAGCGGCAGGACCACGTGGCTTCGTTGGTAGCGCGTGCATATGCATCTGTCGTCCGGTTTGGAAATGAGGCCCACAGACAACTCACGCCTTGTCACTGCCTGCTGACAACGCACGCTCTCGCTTCCTAACCGCATCACATCCACTCGTCATACACAAACCATCTTCGGCAACTCCTCAAGACTGCCCAACATGTGAGCATTGTTCCGCGGCAATTGCGCTCTCCATTGCTTGGTTCGCCACGCTTTCCTTGCCCAAGAAGAGCAGGCTTCTCGCGGAGCGATTGAGGAGTAGAGTCGACGGCGGCAATTAAAGTGGTGCTGTTTGTTGGAGTAGAGGTGTTTGTCATGGGCATTACCGGGTTGGCAGCAGGGATTGTCATCGAAAGCAGCGAAAGGCTGGGATGCCCCATCTCGTAGGAGGACTTGGTTGGTGGTTTGTCGTAGGCGCGGATCGCGGGTCCAGTGCGATCTGCGATTGTGAGCTCATGAGCGAAAGCATCCGCTCCACTGCGAGAGGAGTATGGAATTCGTTTGGTGCAATGACGCATCCGATGCTTGCGAGGAGGATGGACGTTGGGCGATACCATATTCTGCTCTCGTCTACCTTGCGCATGATCGAAGGTTTCTCATGCTGACCGCTCTTTATGCTTCCTGCGCTCTGCGCTTGCGCCCAAATACAGGGATTCTTACGACGCCGAGAAGGCCGCAGAGCTGAAGAAGCGCAGAGCTTTCCGCAAGTTCTCTTTCAGAGGAGTTGAGCTGGACGCTCTCCTCGATCTCCCAAACGAGGAATTCGTCAGCCTTTTGCACTCCCGTGCCCGTCGTCGCATTGGCAGAGGTCTTAAGCGCAAGCCCATGAACCTCATCAAGAAGCTGCGCAAGGCCAAGAAGGAGGCTCCCCCCAACGAGAAGCCTACCATGGTCAAGACCCACTTGCGCGACATGATCATCGTCCCCGAGATGGTCGGTTCCGTCATCGGTGTCTACAACGGTAAGGTGAGTGCGCGGCCCTCGCTCGCGGATGGGGCGTACGCCTGGGCGCGAAAAGAACACAGGACTTGCAACTGCTCGTTGAGCTCGTCTTATCGCCAATGATGTTGGAGCGCCGGGTAGACAGAGTCATGGAATGGGCCAAACCTTGCTGATCATCGATCTTGACATGCGCGCCGCCTCTGCACCACAGATCTTCATGCCCAACGAGATCAAGCCCGAGCAGATCGGACACTACACTGGCGAGTTTTCCTGCACATACACTCCCGTCAACCACGGAAAGCCAGGACCTGGTGCTGTTCTCCGATTCGTTCCCACCAAGTAGGTGCTTGGATTCAAGCCGACAAAAGGTGGCCTTTTAGTCACCAATGTACACTTCACGCACTGCTGGTTTTGACCTGAACCACGACACATATGCAAGCGCTTTGGCGTATCCCACGCAATCAAGACTACTTTCGAGCTACATCAGTGGTTCGAGAGCATACTTCGGCTGCTGGGAGACCGAGGTGACGTGGGCATTGCGGTTGAGATACGAATGCCGGCTGTCCAGCAGTACGGCGGGGTGACGTGAGACAAGACAAGTGGTGATGTGCGGCGTGGACTGCCAGTCAGCATCGACGCGATGCGATTTTAAGAAATGTTACGAGGTGCGCGTCTCCTGGTCAAAGCTGGAAAGATGCCGTGATTGAAGCGATCCAGCTCTATGACGTGCGGAGGCACGAGTAGCCAACCGTTTTGCTCTGGGCTAGCCTCGCTCTCAAACTCATCGGGCTGTGCTTCCACGGAGCTTTGCACATCTTGGAGCTCCTCAGTCGGGAACCTGATCAGTGTACCTCCGAGATTGCTCTCCCACAGCGCCGCTGGCAAGACAATGTCGTCTGGATGGGCATCTGGACGGCCCGTGAGCAGACTAATGGCGCATCGTTGTGCTCGCTCTGTCCCTCCTACCAGAACCACCGCATGAGGATGCCTGACGTGGTTGGCAAAGCTGCGCTCGTTCTTGTCTCTTGCGCGACCGTGTGGCGAGAGAAGCCCATGGTCCGCAGCGTGTGAGCTGCGACGTTCGCTCGGTACGATGGCGGCTTTGATGCCACCGACCACATCCGACAGGGCCTCACTCGAGAGTCGCACAATTGCGCATTTTCTCGCGTGGGAGTTGTGACCGCCCTCGAGAGAGCCAAGACCGCCTGGCGTATGTGCCATGGCTGCTTTGTGCGTCGCTGCAGCTTCGGCTTGAGCATAGACTGCGACCTTGCTCGTCCACCCGTCGAGATCTGGGGATCGTGGGTGCTGAGTCCAGTCCTCAACAACGGCGCAGCTGCCAAATCCAAGACGGGCCATGGCGAGCACGGCGGACCGTAGTGCCACCCTATTCCCTGCCTTTACTTCTGCCGTGGCATCAGATCGCAAAGGCAAGCAAATCACCAGCGCCGAATTTGCTGGGCTCGGCGTGTTGATAGGACTGAGCAGCCGCTGCATGACCCTCTCGATGGCTCCCGGAAGACTATGATCCGCGCCCAAAGGAGCGGCGATTGCCATGAATCCTTGAGGGGTCAGAGCACCGGCGGTTGTTCCCATGAGGCTACTTGAGGCATCGGTGCGATACAGCACATCGGCAGCTCCAACGACAGCAGCAGACAACGTTCGAGGCGCGCCACATGCCTCCAAGCGACCCAAGATAGCTTCTTGTGCTAACCACGCGCCGCTGGCGAGGTTGATACCAAGCACGGCTGCATCCTGGACCAAGGCCGGCAAGCGCATCTCGGCTTCCTGGAGTTGAGCCTGCAAATCACGTACCGACAATGCCGAGACCTCATTGGCTTCGCCCAGAGCTTGCAGAGCGCGCTGCAACCGGGATGAAAAGCTATGCCTTGATCGCCCTGATGTGCTGATGTTTGATGACGGCTCCGTCGTCGTGATCTCGTAGCAACGCGTTGCGGAGCTAACGCCGAGGAGATGCTGAGCACGGCTGACGTCGGCGTAACTCATCTGCCCTACCGCTGCTTTGTGTGGTTGTGCAGCATGGCTGACAGGCGAAAGGACCATATTGAGGACCCGAGTAGATCGTCCGGTCTCGTTGATGTTGATAGCCAGGAGCGGAGGCAGCTTTCGGCCGGGATCACTGGCGGCGCGAGCCAGCACGCGTGCTTGGAATGTGAGCAAATGTAGGTTCTGTTCGGGCTGCGTCGGTGTTCCATATCCTATCATCTCGACGATGTCCACTCCATCGAAGCTTCTCGCTCGATCGTAGAGCTGCATGGCTGTAGCAGAATCCCACCGCAGATCGCCTCGCATGTCGTGGTAGCTGGCAACTATTCGTGTTCGACCGCGGCGCGACATGAGCTCTGATAGTCTTGTGGTGTCCCAGCCCAACTCAACATCCAGCATCTCGACCCCAACATCCATAGCTAGCTCCGCAATGGAAAAGTAGAGCGCTTGGGAGTGGGGGCTGTGCGCGTCTCTTGAGGAGATGTGGCGGTCGTCGAAGAAATGGCCCCCTTCGCGATCTGACCGCAAAGTAAAGAGCAGAGGGAGACCGCGGCTCAATCGACGAGCGTGTGCTATTTGTATGGCGACTTCCACAAAATCAATCTGAGGCGGCTCTTCCCTCGATAATGCTGCCCTGTTGCTTCGGGACGCATTTGCAAGCGCGTGCCACGTGTCTGCTCGTAACTCCACAGCATCTACCCCTTGCACCATCTCGTCGAAAGCCTGCTGTGAAACCTTGCTCAGATCAGGCAAAGTGAGCGAAAGGAAAGCAGTCCGTCTTGTCAAGAGGTGTGCTCGGTTGGTTGGATCTGAGGGACCTGGCGGATGCAAGAATGTCGTCGCTTGATCCTTGCGGTCGGGCGCGTCGTAGCTATCGAGAAGTGTCAACTGTGGGAGGACAGAGGCTTCTGCACCAGGCGTGACAGCCGGGGACACCTGTCTAGAACCCGCCGGAGATCTGTACAGAGATTCTCCCAGGGCGCTAGGGTGGGAGAAGATGAAGCGCAGCAGCCGCAGTAGATCTTGCTCGACCGCCTTGAGGGCTAGGGGATGCGATGCGCCCTCCCTAGCACACTTCTCCGAAGTCAAGGATACGAAGGCATGCGAGGCGCAGCTCCACAAGAGAGGCTCGCGCCTCTGCATGACGTTGACGATGCTTTCTTGATAGTCCGGGCGGGAAGTCTGGCCTATGAGGTACTGGCGAACAGCTTCCCGTTCCCTTAGCACCAGAATGACGGGGCACACGTGCCGAAAGGACCGCAAAGCTTCTCGAGAGTCGCCTGATTCGATCACCCCTCCTCCCGTAGCGATGACGGTATCAAAAGGGTGTTTGGCTAGTGTTGTCCGAACAATTTGTGTTTCCCTTTCGCGGAAAGCTGCCCAACCGAGCGATGCAGAGGGAAAAGACCGAATGAATGTGCCTATGCTTGTGCCCAGGCTAGTCTCAATTGCTGTGTCAGTGTCCACAAAACGCCTACCCATAGCCGTTGCAGCGATGAGCCCAAGCGTTGTCTGCAAGAGAGGTGGAGTCTTAAAATCAGCTTCATACAAGATGCAGCTCAGTGGCTCTGCTCAAGGCGCCCGCCCCTCGTATATTTGGCTCTCGTAGAGATCTCCATCAGCTACACACCTTTCCTACGCCCCTCATTCCAATCAGGACTACAGTCGCCCTAGGATGATATATGCGCGCACCTGCACGACTCCTGATTGCAGCATCCTTGGCGTGCAATGACTCGGCATCTCGAAGGGCGGTCACTTCAGTCGGTTCTGGACGATCTGTAGGCGCAGATCGTTTTGATCTTGCGCTGGGAGTAGCTGTGGCATGGGAGTAGGGCGACATTCGTACGGACTTGAACGACGGTCCTGCAGATATCGTATGGGATTCATCCTCAAGAGCTCGCGGCATGATTACCTCTTTGCTGACTGGCTGGATGTGGATTCTTGGTCTGCCATGTGGAGTGCAATGCTCGAAGAGGTCCTGCCGTTGCCGCTAGGCTCAGACAACCCTATCTCATGTCTGCTGCTTCACGCTTGATGCCTAGCGTGGTCCGGCCTTCAATGGTGAGGATGATATTGGCAGCTACGGTGATGCGTGGAAAGAGGGCGTTATTGCGGGGGGAGAGAAGAGCATGGCAGGCAAACTGGGAAGCTTGGACGCCTGTGCATCCACGATGTGATTGCTCAAACGACAAGCTGCAAGCGCGCGGTGCATATTCCGCGTGTGGAGACTTTGTCGGCCGGTAGCGTCTCACCGCAAAGATGCAGGGAAGATCCGCTCCTCAGCACTCACCACTGACCAAAGCGTGCTTTCCGATTGATTGCACCTTCGACACAGACAAGTCAAGAGTGGTTGCGCACAAAGGTTGCATGTCGAGAACCATTATATAGCACCTCACCAGATCTACGTCCTTCTGGCCTCGTCGCCCGATCTACTGCTCCTGTGATGAATCTGGTCGAAAGTGCCATCTTCATAAGGTAGCTCGGCGATACTTAGTTCTCAAGGGGGCGAGCTCTGCGTGCTCGCGGGCTATGACCACCCGACGTGTACTGGCGGCAGCAACGTCCAGCGGTCAAAGCTCCAGGCTTTTAGGGGTCGATGGCGCGGAGCCTCCTATGCGGCTCAAAGGGCGGCTACTCCGAGCACGTTGCGATCTTTGCGACACCGCATCAGGTCAACCCCAATTCTTTGAGGATGCCTCGGCTTCCCACCCTCCAGGACGTCAGCTCGAGGTTCCTTCGACAGCCCAGCGCTCACATAACAAGCTGCTTTTCGATGGACTCAGAAGCTCTCACCAAGCCGTCGCAGTTTCGGCAGTCCCTCCGCCGGACTTTCTGTTGCCAGCATTCCCGGCCTGGCGCACGCCCACTCGATGCTTCCGCACCTCGGCTCCGCTGCTCTATGAGAGACAACAGCCTACGACAACTTCGGCACAAAAGGTTAGGCAGCGGAGGCGAGGCGTAAAGGAGACACTTTTAGATGCTCATGAGTATCTTCTGACTGCTGACGGCCGCGCCGTGAGCTTAGAGAAGGTCGAAGTGGAGGCGAGGCGACTTACGAAAGAGGCAACCTACAGCTCGTATCCGGTCACAGTGTTTTCACCGGAGCAGAAACTCTTCGAGCTACTGCTGTGGCTGCTGCATCAACGATTGCCTCTCAAAAGCTCAAAAAGCTCGCGGCTAGAAGTCTCAGTAGCGCAGGCGCTCATACCGCTGCCGTCGTGGGCAAGATTGCGAAGATCTCGGATGGCCAAAGCGACAAAAGCGAGGGTCACAAACGGTGCGTCGTCGGAAGGGGCGACATATCTTGGACCCCTCAAGGGGGACCGAACAGTCGGAGCTCGAGATGCGCTACGGCCCAGCTTGGTGCATGCAAAGTATGATGAGCTATTAGCCATGCTATTCAGCCAAGTGCACCTTTTTCGACGCCCACCGAGCACGTCTGAGGTCGCAAAGGGAAAGCAAAAGGCGCCAGATGGGACCGGAAAGCCCGTAATCCAGTTCTTTGAAGCCAACGTGCATTCCATTCGGCGGTTTGCGCGTCTAGTGGAGTCAGCCAAGATTCGCGGAACTCATAAGGCCCTCGTAGTCTTGTCTCGACAGCTTCAAGACTGGACCAGTCTGCCCTCACAGCTGCTTCTTGACACAGATTCTGTCAGCAGTCCTGATGAGCTGGCAGCAAGGGCTCGCAGACTCCTCACTCACGTCGAGCTTGTGATTGCCGCGCTGCTGCGATATCTGGGATCCGACCACTTTCACCGCTGGCGGATCGCGCTTCTTGGTCAGCTAGACCGTCTCACAGACCGCCTTGTGCACACCGCTGGAAGTGAAGAGCTGCGAAAATTGGCGCATACAAGCGAATACTTTCGTGCGCACTTGCAAGTTTGCTGCCGGTCAAGACGGTCTTCGTGGCATGACAGCCTTCCGGGAGGTTTGCGGCGACGAGCAGCGAATGCTGCGCAAGCCGCGCACCCTCATGACGTCCGGCAAGCAGCAAAGCCACGAGATAGCTCGCAGACCTTGCAAGGTCTGCTCGAATTGCGCTCTAGGCGAGGATATCGAACATTGCAACGCTTGTCACAGCTTGCGTCTCGGCGTCGAGAAGCAGGCTTGCCACCGGATGCCGTATTCTTTCAACGTTTGGTTTCTGCGGCGGCGCGACTAGTCTGGAACGCGGAGGAGTCTTCTACAAGTGTGAGGCTCGGAGTCGCGACGTTCTCAACATGGCGGCCCATCCGCCGTCTGGCTTTGAGACTCTCGCACGGCGAGTGGCAGCATTTCGTAGCTGCTGCCAATACTTGCAGCGCATCGGCATCAACACAAGTGAGATCGCTATGTGCGCTCATCGATTTCGAGCTTCGGATGCACGAGTCGCTCGTGGCCGACGCTCGACGATCTCGGAGAGCAAGACCGTCTCGGCCGGAGCCAGACCTGAGGCGCCTGCACTCTCTCGTGAAGACGCTGGGAGAATGGCTGAGTCCGCTGCGCGAGCTAGGAGAACCTCTTCTGGATCTCTCGTCCGCCACTCCAGATGATCAGCTGGCTGTCGCCAGGTCGACACGCGCGCTTGCAAGAGCCTGGCGCCTCTTGGTCCGCATCCACCTGAGCCGACATCGGGCTAGGCAAGCTATTGTCACCTCCCGCAAGCTTATCGGGCTGAATGTCTCTGCGATTTCCGACTTCACGCATGGCAGTGACCTCGTAGAGATTCGAAAAGCCCAGAGAAGTGCCGTCATCGCTATGCTCAGTCAAGTCTTGCGATTTGAGTCTCGTGCTCAACGCCTCTCCTACGGTGTCAAAGTGCTTCGCGTCGCGCAGGAAGGCATCACAAACGGGGTCTGGGATGTGACGTCTTTCGAGGCGTCCTCAGCTGTCAAACGGGGGGTGTCTGGGCTAGGCGACGCAAGGGAAAACGATCCTCGCAGCGATCTTCTCAGAATATGGGCCCGTGTCCTAGGTGCTCTGGCTGTCGACGAGGAGAGCGCCGTGCCTCGTGGCCTCGAAGACGTTCTTCTCCAATCGATCAGGTCTCTGGAAGCGCGAGTAATCACCCTGCTTCTGTCCAACGGAAGTGACCTGAAGCAGGGGCACGCAGTGGATGGTCCTTGGGCTCGTCGCATGCGCGCATGGCGCACGAAAATGCGTCAAATCGTCTTTCGAGACGTGGGACGTTTGCAGCGCTTGCTCGCTTCCTCTCTGCAGTCTAGCAATGTCAGCTCAACGCCAGGACTTGTGAACGTGCGCATCGAGGCCGGCACCGTGCCCATGCCGACAAACGACAGCAGCGCTGTCAACGATCGTCTCCGGCGAGTCATGCAGACACTTCGCCTCTTGCATCCCCGTGCAAAAGACATTGCTCTACTCGAATTAGCATTGCAAGGTCTCCTGCTACGCTCTTGCAAGAATGCAGACTCACTCCAGCGTGCCTTCAAGGATGAGCTACAGCGCTGGCACTCCACATCTGGATCACTTGAGGCATCATCCGGTCACGTTACACCCACAGAGCTCGCGGTTGAGGGCCATCGTGCCTCTGTGAGCACACAAATCCGTAAGATTTCAGATGGCATCGAGCAACAGCCCATTGCAAACGCATTGGCGTCAGACGCAGTCGCGGTCAGACAAGAAGAGTCTTCGTGGGCAACAGACATGACTGGCTGGCCGAGCGAAGACGGCTGTGGCCAGCGTCACAGTGCCTTGAAAAATCTGGAGCCAAAGTTGGACGAAGATGTTCACAAGGCTGATCAATCTGGTCGTCATCGAACGCTATCGCATCGCAGATCGCCTGTTTCGGTCCCTCACTCTGCTTTGTCGCCGTGGAAAAGGTCCTTGCTGGACGGTGGTGGCTCTGCAGTCGCATCCCCTCGGCTACACAGCTTGAACACTGTGTCCAATCTTGTCGACGCATCCTGGAAAGATCACGGTGGCAAAGGAGGGAGAGGGCAGTGATACTTTGGACTGTACGTTGGTGCTTTAGAAAATATGTTAAGAAATGCCCAAAACACGTCATCTGAACCAATGTCCATTCACTGACTGAGATGTGCGCGAGCCTGTGCGTCCACGGGCCAAGTGAGTCAGCCAAAGATCTGTAGGATTCCAGTTGGGACAGCAGCTTTGCGTCTCTGTGATGCCAACTTGCGAACGTGCTGTGACAAAGCTTGGCGAAGAGACAGACACTCAGACTCGCGTCTGTGAGGCGCGTCAAGGAGTTTGACGCAGCATCGTCCACATGTGGGGTGTAAAGGTGCACTAACTAATTGGGGGAGCCATCAACAAGCCACTTTGGGAAGCTCGGCCTTACTTTGGTGCGTGGTACGGTCAAAGACTTTGAGAGGCTTGGCTCATTACCGTCGTTCGTATCCGGCACAATCCTTTCGAACGAGTCCAATACCCGCGCGTCCGCCAAGATCAAGCCACGCCTATACTGGCACTGACTCAATTGCCGCATTGCTAGCTTGGCAAGTGGGCCCCCAACAGGCACTCGCGCGGGCTCGCGTGGTGAAAAGGGTGTGGGTCAGCCAATGGGTGTGTGAATTGTGCCAGAATAAGATCGATTGATGCCTGGTACGAGGTGAAGCTTTCTTTCCGCCTGAAAGGCTAATAATTGTTTCACAATCATTTTTTATTTATTTTATTCTTGCTTTGCGCAGCCATGATTCTGAATTATCCTACGCCAGCGAGAGCACATTTGGAACGTGCGCTAGTCGTTTTGAATTGGAGAGAGAATGCGAATCAATCGTATTTCACGATTCATGGACTCAGGATTGAAAGGGCTTCCCTTTCCCGCATCTGAATCGAGACACGAACCCCCGTGCGCAATCGCCCATGGGGGCACGTCACGCTTGTGCGACGGATCGTTTCGGTTTCAGCCTGTGTCATGGGGAAAGCGCTTAAGTTGATCGCGCATTGTGGCTGCCCCACGCCTCACTTAGGTATATATCACAAAACGGCAAATTGGCACGGCGTCGCAATTGATCATCTTTGCCGTCTTCTATGCAGTATACACTCATGACTGCTTGCAGAGCTGCAGGCACCAGCGAGTGTGAGTGGACTGAAAGCCCCCGCATTTGACGTGCGACCACGCTTGCATGTACCCTGCGAAAGCGGAGCAGGTCAATATTGCCCCTATGTGGCCAGCAACTCCTCCAGCTCCTCTTGACGATGAGGGGTCCGCAGGGGCTGCGCCGCGTTCGTAGCCCAGCGTTGCATGGTTGCTCCGCACCAAGGTCGGACTTTCCTGGCCCGAAACGCGAAATGTCTCAGCTTGCGCGCTTTCGGCGAATCGTGAATCTCGAACAGCAAAAGGAAGTTGGACATGCCAGCGACAGCGAGCGACTGGTCTCGAAGATGCGTCACCGTCGTCTAGCTGGGGCACACCGACGTGCCTCGCCGATCGCATTCGTTCTCAAGACCGGATACGTATATTGGGCCCGTTGGATGCCAAGGCCAGCAGTATCCGCTAGCTGGGCGCGCGCTCTCTTGCTACATGCAATCTGAATCTAGACGAGCAGAAGAATGGCGTGGACGAGGGCTCTACCTGATGGGTACCGGTCTTGCTTCAGCAAGCTCCTCGATCCTGCTGACATCCAATCCCTTTTCCCTTGCCAAGTCCTTCCCACTTCAGCTTTCCTCTCCACTCCACTCTGCGTCCGCGATCTCTGGGCAGCCCGTGATCGCCCATTCACCTCCGAAATTGACTTGAATCAGCACCATTAGGTGCGAACAAGCCTTTGGACACCGACCCGCAACGCTGTGACAAGCTGTCAGGCACCGCGCGTCAAAAGAGATCTCGGTAGTCAATCAAGTCACCCTCCCCTCCGACTGCTTTCCCCAAGCTTGTCTCTTGTCTGCGGCATTTTGCAGTGCATGGCGTCTGCTCTCAATTGAGCCACTGTGACTTCTTATTGCAATTGAACCCCGATCCACGACAGCTCGACCAGCAAAGTGCGCAATAGCCGAGCGACTTGTAGAGCTCAGCGTGCAAAGACTGGAGCAGTGACAATAAGAGCACCAGAGGTGGCGGCAAACAGGCAAGCGAGCAGCAGCAAAGGGAAGAAGAAGAGAAGAGCAGCAAGGCAGCTTTTCCCGCTTTGCTTTTCGCTGCGCTCTCGCGCTCTCGCGCTAAAGCGCTGCTGGGACGCGCAACAGCTAAAACGCCGCTCCCCTTCCCTGCACCTCGCTTCTCGGGCAAGGCAACGGCCCACAACATCTCGCCAGCGGAACCGTTAGCGCTCCTTGCAGCAGCACAGCACAGCAGCGGCCGCGGACTGTTCTTTAGACCCGCTCCGCTCTCTCTCTC